ACACCTTTCCCTTGCTTGTCCCCACCTGTCATCAGTGCCTGCAGTGTTCTGCTCTCCCTGGAACCTGGGGACACTTTCCCAGTTGAGTGCCTCAGTGGGACCCATTAAAACCTCACAAAACTTTGGAGATGGATTGTGACTTTCAATTCTTGAGAGGTTTCTTCAGCTCCCTCTGGGGGACTGATATTCAGGGACTCAGCGCCCAACCCACAAGAGAAGTCCTTGTGCTGTGTCTGTGCTGTTCAGCTGGGCTGGGCTCTGGCACAGAGGCAGCTCCTGGCAAGGGCAGCGCTGCAGAGAGACAGCTCTGGCCAGGAGCAGCTCCTGGGCACAGCCCAGCAGGGCTGGGGCACTGCCTGCAGCCACCCCGGGCACAGCACAGGGCACAGAGAGATGAGAGGCAGCCTGGGCTGGGAGGGTGACTGAGCTCTTGCTAGAGGAGAAATCTTCACAGTGTTTGAAAGAATAATTCTCTGGCTATAGCAAAGCTAAACTTCCATTCCTGGAGGCTTCTCCTAAGGCTGGCACATCCCATGGTTTCCATGATCATTTGGATGGACTCTCCCAGTTCCTCTGGTGCAGAGCAGGTGGCCACAGGGCAGGCAGGGCAGTACCTGCAGGCAGCAAGGGCAGGCAGCAGGAGTGAGGAAGAGGTTCAAGGTAGCCTGGGGTGGGGGAACAGGAGAGACCCCATCAGGGGAGAAATCTGCACAGCCCCCTGGACACGGTGAGTCTCTGGCTGCAGAGCAATGCAGGTGAGTTGCTGGGAGTGTCTGTGACAATGCCAGCACTGACAGGACCTGTCAGGGTGGCTCTCTTGGATGTCCTGGTGTGGAGCAGAAGAAGCTCCAGAGCGGGGCTTCCCTGCTGCTCCCTGAGAGGCACAGGACAGGTCCCTGCACAGGCAGAGCTGTCCCGGGGCCGTGGGGTGGAGATGGACTCTGTGAGCCCTGGCAGGGAGCGGAGCTGGGCACGGGGAGACGCTGCTGGCAGGAACAGCCCCACTCAGCAGAGACACGGGCAGGGAGGGACAGGGAGCTGCTGCCAGAGATGCTGGCCAGGGGGATGTGGGCACCTCCCTGCTGTCCCTGTGCCTCAGACACCTTCCCCCAGCAACTCCTGCCCGGGCTCCTTTCCCAGCCTAAGCAGAGCCCCTGCCCTCAGCCCACGGGGGCTCGGGTGTGCTTTGTCCCTGCAGCAGCCGGAGCCCAGGGAAGGAGAAGCCCCTGATTTCCATCAGTCTCTGTGTCCCTCCTCCCCTGGCAGCAGCATTGTGGCATTTCCCTGCCATCCCCAGGTGCCTGTGTGTCCTTGTTGCCACCAGTGGGTTTGCTGAGGCAGTGCAAGGGTTTGGGGGGGGCAGGTGCCTGTCCAGGCAGGGAGCCTTTGGATGCTGCTGTGGAGATGTGTCTGTGGGAGCAGAGTGCCCAGCTCTCGCCATTCAGGGGCCGTTCAGGTGATTCCCTGGCTGTCCTGCAGGGCTGCAGGGTGCCCTCCAGAAGGGCACAGCTCTCCTGTGGTGTCTCTGGGCTGCCTGGGATCCCTGTGCAGGAGACAGCTCAGTGCTAGGGCCAGGGAAACGCTGCTGGGCAGCTGCAGCTGGGCAGCTGCAATGATCCCTCTGTGCCCCAGCCTGGCAGGAGACAGCTGAGATCCTAAAGAGACACCCTGAGAGAAGGCGAGGGCTCTGTCACTGTGCTCTCTGAAGCCAGAGCTCTCTGCTCTCAGCAGTGCCCTGTTTCTCTCCAGGGAACTCCTCTGGGTGCCTCTCCTTCAGCTCTAAGCTGCCAGCAAGGAGCAGTGAGAACAGCCCTGATGGGCAGAGCTGCTCTCTTGTCCCTGCACTGAGACCATCCCTGTGCCTCTCACACCCACACCATTTCACCTGCAGTGCATTAGAAATGTCAGGCATTTCAAACACCCACAACCTCTCCTAACTGCAGCAGGTGTGACTGGATGAACAAATACAAGGAATTCCTTCAGCTCAGTTCTTCAGATGAGCAAATTGCCAACAGGAAATCTGAACAGCTTTTTGGTGTATCACGACTTCAGTTAATTGGAGATCAGCCAGTGTTCTCGTTTGCCTCTCACTGCACAAGAAGAAGGAATCCTCCAGAGCCCATTTGTGAGTCCCTGCTCTCAGTGCCTGCAAATCCCAGAGCCCAGGTGAGGGGAATGCAGAGAAATGTTTGTAAAAAGACAGACCCTGAATGTTAAACTGCTATAAGATATGCAACGTATTTTGCTTATAAAATTGTGGCCCGACTCTGTTGTGTGTTTTCCTCCTCCACAGATAAAAATTTCGTTAGGCAGCAAATGTCCAACAGCAGCTCCTTCAGCCACTTCCTCCTGCTGGCACTGGCAGACACGCGGCAGCTGCAGCTCCTGCACTTCTGCCTCTTCCTGGGCATCTCCCTGGCTGCCCTCCTGGGCAACACCCTCATCATCAGTGCCATAGCCTGCAGCCACCACCTGCACAGCCCCATGTTCTTCTTCCTGCTCAACCTGGCCCTCACTGACCTGGGGTCCATCTGCACCACTGTGCCCAAAGCCATGCACAATTCCGTCTGGGACACCAGGACCATCTCCTACTCAGGATGTGCTGCACAGCTGTTTCTGTTTGTCTTTTTCATCTCAGCAGAGTATTGTCTCCTGACCATCATGTGCTACGACCGCTACGTGTCCATCTGCAAACCCCTGCACTACGGGACCCTCCTGGGCAGCAGAGCTTGTGCCCACATGGCAGCAGCTGCCTGGGCCAGTGGCTTTCTCAGTGCTCTGCTGCACACAGCCAATACATTTTCCCTGCCCCTGTGCCAGGGCAATGCCCTGGGCCAGTTCTTCTGTGAAATCCCACACATCCTCAAGCTCTCCTGCTCCAAATCCTACCTCAGGGAACTTGGGCTCATTGTGCTTAGTGCTTTTCTATATTTTGGCTGTTTTGTGTTCATTGTTTTCTCCTATGTGCAGATCTTCAGGGCTGTGCTGAGGATCCCCTCTGAGCAGGGACGGCACAAAGCCTTTTCCACCTGCCTCCCTCACCTGGCCGTGCTGTCCCTGTTCCTCAGCACTGGCTTTCTGGCCAACCTGAAGCCCCCCTCCATCTCCTCCCCATCCCTGGATCTGGCCCTGTCAGTTCCGTACTCTGTGGTGTCTCCAGCCCTGAACCCCCTCATCTACAGCCTGAGGAACCAGGAGCTCAAGGCTGCCCTGAGAAAATTGATGACTCTGTATTTTCAGAAGTATTAAACTCTATCTTTTCTGCTGCAGAGCCTTTTGAATGTAACTGTTTGGAATCTCAGCCTTAGTTTTCCCTATTTGTGCATTTATTCATTGGTAACTTTTTCTACTGTTGTTGTGTGTGTTTAGAAATCCTGTAGTATTACATTTTTGCATTTCTACATGAATATCTACCTTTCTTTTGAAACACAAAGACCTGCAAGAGGTCTGTTCCTTGTGCTTTTAAATAAAAACAAATGCCTGCCCTGACCTGTGTGTTCAGGATCATTCCTCAGTGCTTCTCTGGCTCTGCAGTGAATGATTTTGGGTACCTTAACACCTCAAGGGTTAATGGTTTCCCGGTTAAATGGGCTAACTTAATGCAGTCACTGCTGTGGAAAGTGTTTTATGTTCAACTGGATGTTGTATTAAATGCTTTGCCCAAGTTCCTTGGTTCTCTGTACTTTGCCAGTAAAATTCTGTGTGGTTTTCACCTCTGAGCTCCGTTGGTCAGAGCATGGTGCTGATATCAGCGAGGCTGTGGCTTCAATCCCTGTGTGGGCCATTCACTTGACAGCTGGAATTGCTGGTCCTTGGGGGTCCCTTGCAACTAAGAATGTTCTTTGCCTCTGTGTCCCTTGAGAATATCTGCTGGGGTTTGTCCCGTGCACCAAAGGCAAGTCAAGGAGCCTTTGGTTGCCGCCATCACTGGAGTGCTGTGGGCTGTTGCAGCCCCGCAGGCTCCCAGGGGCCTCTTGTTTGCGTCAGGCCCTGCTGGCTCACGCTGGCCCTTGGTTCCATGAGGATCTGCAGGGTCCCCCAGGTTGATGGCATTTGTCCTTGCTGCCCCTCACATCCCCCTGCCCCAGGAACAGCCCCGAGCCCCCCGTGAGGGACAGGCCCTGCTGGGCCAGGCCTGGGCTCAGGGCTTGGCCTTTCTGCTGCCTCCAGCCAGCCAGGGCTTGCTCAGCATTGCAGTTCCTGCTCACAGCCTTTGGCTCCCTGCAGCCCTGGCCTCCAGGATCTGCTCTCCCCACTCCCTGGGGAGCCTTTGCCACTCCCTGCCCTCACTGGGGCCACTGATGCTCCAAGGGACTTGCACTTTGCCTTTGGACTCCTGGAGCAGCTTCTTCACCCTTCTCTCAGTGCCTGAGGCTCCTGGGCTCAGCCCCAAATCCAGTGTGGGGCTGATTCAAGTTGTAATCACGTCCACACTTTCTAACATGAGTTAATTACAAGCTCCTGGTTTCATTATTCCCCATTTTGGCCCCAAATTCCTTTTTTTTAGATCTAAACTGCCCCTTTAAGATCCAGATTGGCACATTTTGTTGCTCAAACCCCCAGTTTTGGGCCAAAATGTCCCATTTAGGAGCCAAATTCCTCCTTCTGGGTCCATATTTCCCATCTGGGCACCCAAATTCACCTTTTTTTGGTCCAAGTTTCTGGTTTTTGGGCCCAGATTCTCCTTTTGGCATCCAAATTTTCCACCTGAATGCTCAATTTCCCCCTTTTCAGGCCCAAATTCTCCTTTTTGGGTCCAAATGTCACACTTGAGTGCCCAAAATGTTCTTTTTTGGCCCCAAATCCCCACTTTTGAGCCCAAATTCTCACTTTTGGACCTAATTTCCCCATTTTTCTGGGCCCAAAATCCCTTTTTCATCCTAAATCTCCCCTTTTTGCCCCAGATTTCCCTGCTGGCTGCCATTGGCTTACCTGAGTTGACCTTTTAGCATCAGACTTTAATATTTTTTAAAAAAACAAAATCTTATTTTTGGGTCTAAACTAACACTTTTTGTGGCTCAAAACCCCAGTTTTGGGCCAAACTGTCCATTTTGGGAGGCAAATTCCCACTTCTGGCTCCAAATTTCTCATCTGGGCACACAAATTCCCCTTTATTGGGACCAGAGTCCCCATTTTTGGCCCCAGATTCTTCTTTTTCAGTCCAAATACCCTACCTGAGCAACCAAATTCCCCATTTTTAGGCCCAAATTCTCTCTTCCTGGCTCAAATGTCCCCATTTCAGGTACAAACTTTCCACCTGAGGACCCAAATTCCTATTTTTGGGACCCAAAATTCCCACTTTTGGACACTAACTCCCTTTTATTCTGGCCCCAAATCCCCTTTTTCTTCCTAAATCTTTTTTTATTGCCCCAAATTTCCCCCCTGGCTGCTGTTGGCTCACCTGGGTTGACCTTTTAGCATCAGACTCCTGTTTGTTTTTAATCCAAACTCTCATTTTTACATCTAAACTGCCCCTTTCTGTGGCTCAGACCCCCAGTTTTGGGCGAAACTGTTCCTTTTAGGAGCCAGATCTTCCCTTTTGGGTCCACATTTCCTATCTGGGCACCCAGATTAACCTTTTGTTGTGGTAAAGTTGTTAGAATGTTGTTAAGTTAGTTGATGTTAGTAGTTGATAGCTTGAAATGGATCTTTTCCCCTAGAAATAGGTCCCAAATTCCCCAGTTTTGGTCCAAACTTCCAATTTGGGCACCCAAATTCCACTTTTTTAGACCAAAAACTCTCCCTTTTAACACCAGATTTCCCCTTCTGGGTCCAAATTTCCCATCTGGGCACTCAAATACCTATTTTTTCTCATTTTAATTCCACTTTTTGGGTCCAAATTTCTCACCTGAGTGCCCAAATTCCACCTTTTTGTTCCAAATTACCCCTTTTTGTTCCAAATTATCCCTTTTTGGTCCAAATTTCCCATGTGGGCACACAAATTCTCCCTTTTTATGCCCAAATTCTCCCTTTTTGGATAAAAACTCTTCTATTCTGGCCGCAAATCCCCTTTTTCATCCCAAATCTCCCTTTCTTGCCACAGATTTCCCCCCTGTCCGCCATTGGCTCACCTGGGTTGACCTTTTAGCATCAGACTCCCATTGTTTTAATGCAAACTCTCATTTTTGGGTTTAAACTGCCCCTTTTTGTTGCTCAAACCCCCAGTTTTGGGCCAAACTGTTTCTTTTGGGAGGCAAATTCCCAATTTGGGGTTGACATTTCCCAACTGGGAACCCAAATTCACCTTTTTTTGGTCCAAATTTCCATTTTTTGGACCCATATTCCCCTTTTGGCATCCAAATTTTCCATCTGAGTGCTCAATTTACCCCTTTTTAGGCCCAAATTCCCCTTTTTGTGTCCAAATCTCCCACCAGAGTGCAATAAAAATGTTGTTTTTTGTCCCCAAATTCCCACTTTTGAGCCCAAATTCTCACTTTTTTGACATAATCTCCCATTTTTTCTGGCCCAAACTTCCCTGTTTCATCCAAAATCTCCCATTTTTGCCCCAAATTTCCCCCCTGGCTGCTGTTGGCTCACCTGGGTTGACCTTTTAGCATCAGACTCCCATTGTTTTAATCCAAACTCTCATTTTTACGTCTAAACTGCTCCTTTTTGTTGCTCAGACCCCCAGTTTTGGGCCAAACTGTTCCTTTTGGGAGCCAAATTTTCCCTTTTGGGTCCACATTTCCTATCTGGGCACCCAAATTCACCTTTAGTTGTGGTAAAGTTGTTAGAATGTTGTTAAGTTAGTTGATGTTAGTAGTTGATAGCTTGAAATGTATCTTTTCCCCTATTTTAGTTGTGATTCCCCCCCACACTTCTCTTTCTCCTATTGCTTCCCTGGAGTCAGGTTCCCATGGTCACTGAAGTTTTTCTCCTCAGCTCCAGGGCCAGAGGCTGGATAGAGTAAAGATAAGACCCTGCTGGCATTTCCAGCTGCTTGAAGTTTCGGTGGCCCGGGAAAGCGCAGGGGTGACAGCAGAAAGACCCTTCTTTCCAACCGGGAGTTTGTAACTCTGTTTTTCCTGTCCCAGAATGCCTCTGAGCTGTGGAAGCTGAGAGGGCATTCTCACCTTCCCTTTCTTTCCCCCCTGTGCTGCCAGGAAACCAAGCCCCCCTCTCTGCCCCTCTGCCCCTCTGTGGAGAATACTCCTACACCTTTGTGGCCATTTGAAGAAGTTGGTGTCTGTTATTTCTTATCTTGGTGTGTGTAACCTTGATTTGTAGAAAGTTTGTAAATGTACTAGCTGTGAAAAATAATTGTTTCTCTCTGTGATGTTCCCTCCCTCCGAGAAACCCTGTTAAAAGAGACCCCCAGACCCCAAATCCTTTGTCTTTCACCCTTTGGATTCCCCTTCACAGAAATAAACTGTGGAATGCAAACCAGGGAGAGAGTCCCCCCCCTGATTTCTTTACTCGCTTGCTAAAACTCGAATTCCTGAAGAAAATCAGTGAACCCCACAAACATCTGCTGGCTGGAAACCAGAGTGAAGAGAAACCTCATCCTTGAGCCAGCCGGGCCACTCCGGGAGGTTCCAGTCAACCTTTTATTGGCCCAAATTCTGCCTTTCAGCGCCAAAACTCCCCCTTCTGGGTCTAAACTTCCCCTTTTTTGGGCACCCCAATTCTCCTTTTTTGGTCCAAATTTCTGAGTTCTGAACCCATATTCCGCTTTTTGTGTCCATGTTTCCCACTAGATCCCAAATTCCCCTGTTTTGGTCCAAACTTCCCATTTGGGCAGCCAAATTCCTCTTTTTTAGGCCAAAACTCTCCCTTTTAACACCAGATTTCCCCTTCTGGCTCCAAATTTCCCATCTGGGCACTCCAATACCTATTTTTTCTCATTTTAATTCCACTTTTTGGGTCCAAATTTCTAACCTGAGTGCTCAAATTCCTCCTTTTTCTTCCAAATTCCCCCTTTTTGGCCAAATTTCCCACTAGATCCCAAATTCCCCCTTTTTTGCCCCAAATACTCCCATTTTGGACACAATCTCCCTTTTATTCTGTCCCCAGATCCCCTTTTTCATCCCAAATCTCCATTTCTTGCCACAGATTTCCCCCCTGGCTGCCATTGGTTCACCTGGGTTGACCGTTTAGCATCAGACTCCCATTGTTTTTAATCCAAACTCTCATTTTTATATCTAAACTGCCCCTTTTTGCTGCTCAAACACCAAGTTTTGGGCCAAACTGTTCCTTTTGGAGCCAAATTCCCCCTTTTTGAGTCCAATTGTCGCATTTTGCTGCCCAAATTCCCCCTTTTTGGGCCCAAATTCTCCTTTCCTGGACACAAATTCCCCTTTCTGGGCCCAAATTTCTCACCTGAATGCCCAGTTTTGCCCTTTTTTGGCCCAAATTCCCCTT